AGTCACAGACTAGAGTAAAAATTGCACAGATATAATAATTCAGAAAACTTCCAAGTACTCCAGTTAAATATTCAATACAGCGTCAGAAGTTCGCATATTAATTTTCAAATGCTCCACAGTAGCTCCAGTTGTATATCTCATGCATCGTTTGAGCCAGCGAGGAGATTACCCAAAAAAGCAGATGTTTGCGTCACTTTTGACTAATCTGAGACTAATCCATTTCGTTGGTCAATTCGCATTTTGACTTAAGGTTGCGACTCAATTCCGTAATATTCTTGCGTTCTGATTGGCTGTCTAAAGAAACTGACGTCTGGTTTCTGATCGGCTTGATTCTTGAGCATTTATTTGTGCCTTTTTCATTTAGAATTTCTCTGTTTTTCATCTCGCAATGGTCGCTGGTAACGCCGGTCCATTACGGGAAAGTGTACCAATCATAGTCTATGCGTTTCAAAATTTGTCCCTAATAAGGCTATATGGGCTTCATTAGAATCGCTCAAATTAACGAGAAAATGTGTTTCGAAAAAAAAACTATAGAGAGAGATTAAACTGTCATTTTATATACTGAAATATTTTTCATGCTGTGAATGTTTATAGAACTTAAGGCTATCAGAGAATTTTCAAATAACTAACATAACGCAAGAGTGCGAAGATGGAATGGTTTAATCAAGAGAACTTTAGAATGCTTATAATTATACGCGCATGCGTGTCCCATGCATATTAAACCCTAATATTTAAATAATAGATTATTTCATGGTTGACGAGTGCGTACGATTTTTATACGCATGATAAAAATGGTACAAACGATCATCATTTTGTTGTGCATAAATCTCTAAACACCGATAACTAGAAATACATGCATGCTGCAACCTTCGCCTATTTAATCCAAACAACCAATTTCCAGCGCTAGCGAAATTCAAGCTTATATTATATGACATGGCTCAAATGAGTCGATAACTGATTTACCATGATTCGAAATCAAATGTATAGCCAAATATATTCATAAAAACTGTAGATAAGGTGGTACACTAAAAGGTCATTTGCATTATTATTTATAAAATTAAAAATATCGAGACATCTTAACATACTTGATATCAATTTTTAGAGTCTAGTTCACAGCACCGACATCAGTGTGCCAAGTATGCTTTAGTCGTTTTAGAGCTTAGTTTTATAGTAGAACCGAGGGAGGATTTTTGCGGGAATATACTCCAATTAACCTCGGTGCGATTGCGCAAAACTCTTCCTTTTTGGACGTGTATCGAAACTCCGAAACGACTGCTGAAGCGAACTTAGCACGAGAATGTTTGTGCTGTGACTTCAACATATTTCAATATTTCTAATTTTATAAATATGCGACTCTTACAGCTTATCGATGGTTAAAAATTCAACCGTCAAAACGTGAAAACAGCACAAGATTTTCACGGCCTATAGACGTGAAATGTTTTTTTTGATTCTTTAAATATGCTGCGAATCATTTGCAGTCAACTTTAAAGCTTTGTTTTATCAAAATTCGAATTTCAACTTTAAAAAACCCCTATTCTCTTTTTTTAAAAAATATTGAAAAATAAAAAATGTACCCATTTTATGTTGTGAAATATTTTTCTCAAATTCCGCGCATGCGCATAACTTACAAAACCACTCAACGTCGTGCGTTCATGACATAGAATTTGGACAACTTTGGATTCAGCTATATATCTGCTGTCAAACACACGTATGTATTTATTCTTCCAGCAGAATTAGTACCCTCGCACGGTGGTGCGCAGTGGGACATGCCGCCGTGCACGTGAGTAGGTTACCCCCCCCATCCAGCGGCAAAAACACGCAACGCGTGGACCCCACGCGGGACGTCGGAAACTGTCGGATTTTCCGAAGATATGCGTGTTCTCCACGCGCGAGTAGAATAGTGAGCGAGGGGCGGGGTAAACAATAAAGCGTAAATACGCATAATAGCGTAAATACGTATAATAGCGTAAATACGCAGGATATGTTTGTTTGACAGCATCTTACTCAAATTACACAAATACCGGGTTACTTATCACACAGGATAATTTTTATTAATATAATTTAGGTACTCTTTGACTATTAAATAGATAGTAATTTATAATACGATTTACTATTGTTCTATGATCACTTAGACTTGCGGTTCGTTGTATTTTGATGAAATGTGCAATCATCAATAAGTGGAAATTAATGTTTGAGGGAAATATGAACGAGTCTAGTAAAAACATCTGATCACGTCTCAGCATACAGTCGGTGACTTCTTCCCACCATTTATTATCATAGATCGTACACCATGCGTCCGGAATGTGCACATTTAAATACTCGATTGGTTCTTTGACGTTCATATGGTAACTGTATTTCTTGTGTCGCATAGGTGGTTTGTTTGAGTAAACACGGAACACTTTGCCTTTCCCTTCGAAGTTATGATTGTGTTTTGTGCAGAATCCAACTTTGAAACTTGAGGATAAGAAACATTTTGTTAACAGAATCTTTAGATTTATCTCATCGTCTATCAGAAACTCAGTCACCCACATTAGCTTTTCCGTTATTTCTTTTTCCGTGTCGAGGTCATTTCGACTCTTCGATAACGTTAAGAGTATAGTTTTAACGACAATGTCTTTAAGAGTCTGCACACGCTCCATCGCCCAAAGGTTATGTATAACTGGATGGATTCATATCCATGACAGCGACGATGTCATCTTGGCAAGCCATAGCGAACAATTTAGCATAGATGTAACCCTGCTTTTATAGAACATAGCTAAAGGTACGCGTGAATGCAATACAGGAAGTTCACGAGGGATAATAGTGCGTAAATACGCAGAATGGGACTATGTAGAGTCGGACTTTACCCAGAAGATAGCGTAAATTCGTAAGGTTGGACTTTAACGAGAAGATAACGTAAATACGTAGGATTGGACTTCAAAGATATAAATATTCTTTCATTATTTAAAACAGACGTCCGTTTGCTGTCTTCAGTCACCTAGTACATGAATGTCTACTTTATCGACATAATGCTTAAAAATCCAATATTTGACATCAACGTATCCGTGATCTACGCATGCGCACCATAACTTTCGAACAAACTCTTTATTTGTAAATGCTTGTCTTTCATCAAAAACAATCTTCCATTCGTTTTCGTCTTCTACCAGCGTGGATAAGATTTTGTTCTCAAAGCTGGATAAGGTCATGTAGATAATTGGGTGCACGGCATCTTCTCCCCAATAAAAGATTAGGTCAGCTACTTTCATTTTTACAGCAAATAAAACACTCTTCGCTTCAATTCTTGTCGATGATCGGTACGGAGTGTGGTTCTCCAATCGATGCGTGTGTACTTGTGCATTTCAATCGCACTAACACGGGGTTTATATCACTGAGACGCGCGCTGGGTAAATGCTTGCGTGACCTTACCTCACATATTTGTGCCTGAGCTTTATCAAATCGGACTTTACCCTCAAAGATTGAATTTTCTCACAAAGTGAGGTGTGAATAAAGTGTGTGGTTTTTTCGTGCAATTTCATTTCGAGAGGCGTTTCTTATCATGAACTCTTCACAAGGAAAAGAACAGATATTCGGCGCGGGCGGTTTAACTATGGATGAATTTGAGCCGTCGGAAGTTAGGAACTTATGTCATTTGATGGACGCGATATTTGCAGAGGCTGTTTCCAGCGAGGTTGGAAAAGTTTGCAAAGAGAGATGTAGAGGTTGTGAGTTCGATAGTCCTAGTCAGAGGAGACACGAATGTATAATGTTGTCGGAAGAAGAAAGATGGGAGATGCATGGTTTGGAGGCCGTTGACCAGGTGTTTCGGCAAGGAATACTTTGGAGAGAATTTATTGAGGCTATCCGTGTGATGAGATTGGATTATAACGAGTACGCAGCAAAACATTTTGAAAACCCCAAGAGAGACCGTGAGGCAACTCTTAACTTTCTGATGGATTTGAGGCGAAGTTCAGGCATTTCTGATTACCAGCCCATTTTAAATTATCTCTCTTACTGGATTAATGATCATTAAGTGAGGACAGTGTGACTAAATTGACATTTTTCATTTAATTTTACTACGCTAAATGTTATGAACCGTCTATATTATTATACTTGTATTACTTCATTTTACTTTCATTTTTTTTTTTACTGTTCGTCCAAGAACGATATATCGAAGTTCTCGATGGCGTCCCAAAACCTCTGTTCAGGAGTACCATGAACTTTGATTCCCTCAAATTGAAGCACCAAATCGATGTTCTCCCTCATCATATATATGTAGAAGTCTATATATTTTTGTAGTTGTTCTTTCTTTTTGTGGTAGTTTTTTCTCGATCTTTGGGCCTCTTTTTGCTTTCGGTTCATTTTGCTTTGACTTGGTTGATTTTACCAACTATTTTTATACGCGTGGGGATTATGCAACCATTGTTAACAAATGCTCATTAATTTGATAAGAATGGTATAATTTTATGCAAATCGGTACCACGCTTGTTAACGGCGCCTCAGATGTCGTATATATGCCGAATCTAAATATGCCTAAACTAATATTAATGAGCTAAAGTCTTTCTTTAACTTCCTATGCATTCAATCGGTATATAAAATAGGGGGTTTATGTGACCATACATCCCGCAGGTCACGAAATTAAAATATTTTTGCAGTGTGAGGTACCTAAGGGTAAATTATGTAGAATCAAAAACATTTGCATCACGAAATAGTTATTATATTTTAAGCATATTTACGCATGGCAATGATGATTTACATGAACAGATATTCTGCACGAGTGACAGCGTATTTACGCGTTAAATTAAAGATGCATGGCTGTTGATCATCATATGAATTGTCAACCGCCTTAGGTGTCAGGGTGTGTGCGTATATACGCATTAAATTAAGGATACATGGCTGTTGGTCATCATATCAACTGTCAACAACCTTAGGTGTCAGGATGTGTGCGTATATACGCATTAAATTAAGGATACATGGCTGTTGGTCATCATATCAACTGTCAACAACCTTAGGTGTCAGGATGTGTGCGTATGTACGCATTCCTGTGATATTATGTACAAACAAACTGCTGACGTTTAAAAACGGATTATCACGAACTGCATGATCGTGAGAGTATAAATTTAGGTTACAATATTGGCAAAACTGCCAGTTACACAACATTAGGAAGAGGACATTGAGCGTTTTCATTTTGCGTTTAAAGGTATGAGTCTTCCCTTTTCGCGTTTTTTTGTCTTCGTGTATTTATCGTTGCAAATCAATCAATTAAAGATTGTTTCGTCAAACCACACCACTTGTTTTTCTGTTTAGATATGAATTTGATAGATAAAATATACGAGAGTCAAACGGTTGATCAACTTTCGGAGTTGGAGAGACGTTATATCTTGACTGATGTTGAGAAGGATATACTATTTAAAAAGAAGGCAGAGATTATAAGTCGCATGATGCGATGGAGGGTGGAGAATGTTCGTCTTGGTATCGCTGCGGACCTTACAGATTCTTGGACCCCGGAACAACGCCAACGATTTTTGGAGGATTGGCAAGACGACGAATTATTATTATCACAAAGTGACATTGGGGAGTTTGCTTCAGGGCTTGCCGATACGCTTGAACAAGGAGAGAACGTGTTCCCAAATTGGCGAGATGACAGATCTTTGTCACAGATTGGTCGCGGACAGAAAAGAGCCGTCGACGTAATGAATGAGGGCGCGAGCACATCAAACGAGGTTAGCGATAGCAATTATTTTACCCTGACAAATGTGAAGCAAGTATATGTTAAAAAGTTTAAAACCAGTGGTGTCGATTACGCTGTGCAATTTAAGGATACCTTTGCTAATTTGGAACTCTATCAATTTCATAATCAGCTGCATGACATTTTTGGGTGTTTGCTCAGGACCATTACCCATGATATTCCAGAGCACGATCAAGTTCGTTTTGTGTTGCAATCGCCTCAGCTCGAGACTCCTATTTCTCTTCCGTTCATGCCACGTTCTCGTCTTACGACCGAACGTGTTTTAGCCGAATTCGAGCGTGTCGTTCAATCTAATCGGGAATTTCGTTTGAATGATAATGTTAATCTCAATTTAGTTCATGTTGAAATGCCGAATGGAGGCACCGGTTCAAAACGTAGTGAAATTAATTTGGAAAAGCATTTAGACCGGAAAGGTTCAATTATTCGAATTCAAAACACGGATAACATTTGTTTAGCTAGGGCATTAGTTGTTTCTATCGCCAAAATTGAATACGATGATCGTTATAAAAGTATAGTCGATCATCGCCGGCCAATGCAAACACAATTGGCGTACGAATTGCATGAAAAAGCTAGAGTCCCAATTGGCGAATGTGGTTTAGATGAGGTGAAACAATTTCAAACCTATTTGTCTGATTATCAGATCAATATCGTTTCGAAGGAGCATCAAAATGCCATAATCTATTCCGGTCCCGAGAAAGACAAACGAATTTATTTGTTTTTGCACGATAGCCATTACGATGTAATCACAAGCATGCCGGCATTTTTTGCTCGGAAAAAGTATTGCCATACCTGTAAAAAGGGGTACGATAAAATGACTGATCATTTGTGTGCTGATTTATGTAAGTTGTGTCTTTTCAAATTGTGAAATTGTTTCGTGGGTTCCTTGTGCTTGTTGCATGCGTGTTTTTAAAAGTCAAGAGTGTTTTAACCGACATAAGCAATCTGTAGGCAACGCAAAATCAGTCTGTGATTCTCTGGGTAAGTGTCTTCATTGTGATCTTGTTGTAAAACGGAGTAGACTGAGGCGTGATTTGCATCACTGCGGTGAGACTCGTTGCTCTACCTGTAATAGCTATGTGCAAACTGAGAATCATCAATGTTACATGCAACCCGTCAGAGAGGAAAACACCAGAGACATAAACGAGGAGGCGAACCTTCTCGATGAAGAGGCAAACGACGAGAACGACACACCCCAAAGCGGGTACAATCAACTCCTATTCTTTGACTTTGAATGTCGACAAGAAAACGGAAACCACGAACCCAACTTATGCATAGTGCAAAACGAAGCGGGGGACGAGTGCATATTTAAAGGCGACAATACGAGAAATGAGTTTTGCGAGTGGTTATTTACCAAGGAACACGCAAACTGCATTGTAGTAGCACATAATTTTCAGGGTTACGACGGATATTTTATTCAACAATTCCTACACCAAAACGGTGTGATTTTCGATCTCATCACAAGAGGTGCCAAAATCCTTACATTGAATGTCCCGTTGTTCAAGATTAAATTTATAGACTCTCTCAGTTTCATACCCATGAGACTTGCCGATTTTCCGAAAACCTTTGGTCTCAATGAGCTTGCAAAAGGTTATTTCCCTCACCTTTTTAACAAAAAGGAGAATGAGAATTACGTTGGCCCTATACCTCCAAGTCCATTTTACAATCCTGACGGAATGAGTCCTGATGAAAAAGAGACGTTTTTGGAATGGCACGGTAATATGAAAGAAAACCATTACGTGTTCAATTTCCAGCAAGAAATTCAAACCTACTGTCGTTCAGATGTCGATATTCTACGGCGTTGTTGCCTTGAGTTTCGCGAACTGTTTCGTGATGTTACAGATATCGATCCGTTTGAGAAATGTCTCACCATTGCATCAGCATGCAATTTAGTGTTTCGAAAGAATTTTCTGAAAGAAAACACTATTGCCATAATCCCTCCTCACGGTTATCGTCCGAAAGACAAGCAATCCATCCTGGCTCTAAAGTGGTTGACTTATACTGCCGAAAAGAATGACATCTACATTCAACATTCGCGCAACGCTGGTGAGAGACGTGTTGGTACTTATCTACTGGATGGTTATCATGAAGAGACCAACACAGCCTACGAAATCAATGGTTGCTTTTGGCACGGTATGTTGTTAACATTACTCTCTCTTTTAACGTTCTTATGTAACATTTTGATTTTTTATTCAATATTCCCAGGATGTTTAAAATGCTACGCCAGAGATACGGTGAACAGTGTTAGTGGTAAAACCATGCATGACCTGCATCAAGCTACAATGGAGAAGACGTGTTACCTCCGAGATCAGGGCTTCAATGTTATCGAAGTATGGGAGTGTGACATCACGCAAGAATTAGAATGCAGCGAAAATATGAAAAGTTACTTTGACAGTTATGACTTAATTGATCCTTTGGAACCTCGTGATGCCTTCTTTGGTGGTCGAACCAACGCTGCCAAACTATTTCACGAGTGTAAGGATGACGAAAAAATAAGGTGTACATACAGATATTTGAGTAAGTACAATTTTTACTATTTATTGACGCTACATTTTTATTATGTGACGTCATAGGTATGTGGATTTCACGAGCCTATATCCCTGGGCAAATAAGACAACGCGAACAGTCGTCGGTCATCCTCATATCATCACAGAAAATTTTGACGAAGATATCTCCAATTACTTTGGGTTGATCAAATGTACAGTTCTGCCACCTCATGGTCTCTTCCACCCTGTCCTGCCTTATCGTACCCAGGGAAAGTTGATGTTCCCCTTATGCAAGTCGTGTGCAGATGCGTGTAACCAATCCCCATGCACCCATTCCGACACAGAAAGATCCATTCAAGGAACCTGGTGCAGTGTGGAGTTGGAGAAAGCCTTGGAGAAAGGTTACGTAATTTTGAAACTCCATGAAGTATGGCATTTCCCACAACAATCTGATGAACTGTTTAAAGATTATATCAATACGTTTCTGAAAATCAAACAGGAAGCGAGTGGTTACCCAAAGAATTGCACCACAGAGGAACAGAGACGCCTTTATGTTGAGGAGTACTACGAGCGAGAAGGAATCCGTTTGGACCCGTCCAAAATTGAGCATAATCCCGGGCTTCGTGCGCTGGCAAAACTGATGCTTAACTCATTTTGGGGTGAGTATATTGCTACAAACTTTGCCGTACCCTCTAAAGGTTTTTTTCAGATCAGTAACCTATTTTGTCTTGTCTCATATATTTTTTAGGCAAGTTTGCACAACGTCCCAACATGTCAAAGGTGGAATTAATCGCAGACCCCCAAGTTTACTTTGACTACCTAACCTCAGATGAAATCAATGTTCTTGATGCAAATTTCGTCAATGATGAAGTGATTGAAATCCACTATGAAAACAACGAAAATTTCATCGCGCCAAATTCAAAAACAAACGTGGTCATCGCTGCTTTCACCACTGCCTACGCCCGCCTCAAACTCTACGATGTTCTGGATCAACTTCAGGAAAGAGCGTGTATTACGATACTGATCGGTGATCTTTGTCAGTAACCTGTGATCCAGAGCCTCCTACGGGTCCGTACCTCGGCGAACTTACAGATGAATTAAAAGGAGATTACATCACCACGTTCATTTCCGGTGGCCCAAAGAATTACTGTTACCGCACAAATTCGAACAAAGTTGAAACAAAGATACGAGGTATCACATTGAATTGCACCGCTAGGCAAAACGTTAACTTTGAGGTGATTCGTGCTTTGGTGTACCTTCATGCTAAATGTAATGTCGCAGGGCAAGTATCCGTAGATATCCCATTCAAGATTACTCGCAACACCAAAACAAAAGAAATAGAAACCAAACGCATGAAAAAGGACTACCGTATTGTTTATGACAAACGTGTTATTATTGATGAATACAAAACACTTCCATACGGATTCTAAATGTATATATTCTATTTTGTCTTTATGTGTCTTATGTTTAAATAAATGTCAAAAATAAAGTCTGGCAGATTTACTGTCTTATCATGAGAGTATTTTTTTCTCGATTATTTTACACTTAAACGTGTCCCCTGCTTTTCGGATAACCACCATTTTAATTCGTTTGTGTATCGTTGTATGGTTAGTCCTTCGCTTGAGCTTGAGTTTCCTGATCTTGTGCAGTTTGGCTTTTCTCTCGTCTTTAACATTTTTCTTCTTTTTAATAGCCCTTTTACGTAGATCATTTACCCCAGTTGATTTCGAGCATAAAACCTCTTTCTTTGAAGATGCTTTAGGAGACATCGTTTTGTGTGCACACTTGGCTGGCATATTGCAAACTGAGGATTCGGTTTAAAATCATGTCATTTTATGATCTTCGCGATCACAGCGCTTATTACAAAAACCTAAAAGTCTCTTCTTTTAGCATCCGTCTTCGATCTGCACAAAAATTACTTCTCCAATTACCACGCGTATATTTGAGCAGCTCCGGACTGTCTACACAGGGTTTAATGTCCGTTAGGGTTTCGATAAAAGCCTCCGTGACCTTTGTCTCTGAGATTCTTGACAACGCCTCGTCAAAATACATGCATAACTGTTCGTCCTTTTCCATAGTGATACATTGATGATTTTTCTGAGATAAATTTTCCATAACACATCCATCACAATTTGCAACCACTAGTTGAGATATCATCATTGATATCTCTTTAGCGTAACACTTTAGCAATTTGTTTTCGATACGTCTCAGACGATGACCTAACATAAACGTTTTGTTGTCAATGTCCAGAGGTTTGTATGGAGACATCTTTCTTTCACGGCTCTCCAGACAGGTTTGATGGTTTTTTAATGTTGCAAATGTTTTATACAACGAGTACAACGTCGACATATTCAGTGCCTCAGCAAGAGCCGTAGTGTAAACATGGGTAATTCCTTTCGAAAAAGTCCTAAGATCAACAAAGATCACAACAGACAAAAGATGTTTAGATTGGGCATAAGTTTCGGTCGCAACGATCTTAATCTTGAGGGGCATTTGCAAATGGGTTATAACAGTAAAACCATTAAAAACTACAAGCCGGTTGACAACGCGGAACAAGACATTGCTCAATTGCATAGTGAGACGCATGAAAGTATTGAAAACGCCGAAGAGTAAAAGTCAAACCCTCATTTCACGCCTGAACATGAACGAATACTTATCTAGCGTTTATTATGATCCTAAACGATCTGGAGGGTTTGGTGGGGTGGATCGTTTATATAAAGACGTTAAAAACGAAGGAAAATTTAGAATAAGCCGTAAGAAAATCAAGCAATGGTTAATGGAGCAGGACACATACACTTTGCATAAGCCTCTTCGTCGTAATTTTAAACGAAATCGCGTGATCACGGGTAATATTGATCAGAGTTGGCAGATGGATTTGGCAGATTTACAATCCCTGCAGAAATTTAATGATGGATATCGATATCTTCTCGTATGTATTGATGTCCTCTCCAAATACGCCTGGGTGATTCCGTTGAAAAATAAAACAGGACCTTCCCTGGTCGAAGCTTTCAAAACTATTCTCTCCTCTGGACGTAAACCTGAAAAAATTATGACTGACCAAGGAACGGAGTTTTTAAACAGACATTTTCGAGCCTTGATGAAAGAAGAAGATATCCAGTTGTACAATACGTATAACGAGACCAAAGCATCAATCGTAGAACGTTTGATTCGTACTTTGAAAACAAAAATGTGGCGGTACTTTACAGCAAAGAAAACCATGAGATACATTGACATGCTGCCTGATTTAGTTTATTCTTACAATCATAGTGTTCATCGTAGCATTAAGATGAAGCCTGCGGATGTTAGCATTGAAAACGAAAAGAAAGTATGGCATACTTTGTATGACGATCATAATGTTGGAAAAAATGTAAAGTACAAATTTAAGATTGGTGATCAAGTTAGAATTAGCAAATTAAAACGAAAGTTTGAGAAAGGTTACTTGCCAAATTTTTCCAAAGAAATATTTACTATAAGTAAGCAAATTCCTCGCGATCCTCCGGTGTATAAACTAAAAGATTATGACGATGAGGAACTCGATGGAACGTTCTATGATAAAGAATTGCAAAAGGTCGTCAAACGTGACGACGTGTACGAAGTCGAAAAGATTCTTAAGAAACGTGGGAGGGGTGATAATATACAATACTTTGTAAAATGGTTAGGGTACCCGAACAAGTTTAATTCATGGGTACCCGCTTCAGAAATAAATAAAAACCTTTAAACGTGTACTTTCGTTGTTATATTCATTTGTATTTCACGATGAGCAGAGCACATTTTTATCTTACGCTTCCCAGCAATGCATCCTTAAATATCTTTCCCGATAACAAAACTACCAGTTACCGTGTTAAATTACCACAACCTGTTGATTTGAATGGTGATTGGGAAGTTGGTTTGTACTCCGTTTCTTATCCAAACACATGGTATACTCTCAGAAACATGATAATAATATATATTGGGATGACGGCAAAGGATTTTATTTGGCGGCATCTGTAGAATATGGTTACTACAAAACAATGCAAGACCTTCTCAAAGCCACCAACAAGCTCTGAAAAAGAGACCCGTAACGATAACATCAATTTAACGTTCAATGCCGTAACCGGAAAAGTGACAGTTCACCTAAAAAGTGGCTATCGGTTGGTTTTGGCAGGAAGAATGTCTATTATCTTAGGATTTGGGGGAAAGGAAGTAAAATTAACAAAAACGACCACTAGTCCTTATGTTGCAGACTTGTTTGATATGTCAACAATATACATTTATTGTGACGTTGTTCAACCTCAGATTGTCGGTGATACAAACGCAAAGTTACTCCGAAGCATTCCAGTCGAGGGAAAGTCTGGGGACATCATTACCAAGACGTTCACAAACATACAATATGTGCCAGTCCAAACTAAATCATTTGAGGACGTGGAGATTCTTTTAAGGAACGACACAGGCGATCCCGTGCCATTTGAACGCGGGAAGGTGGTGATAACACTACATCTCAGACAGCACAGTTATTTCTAAAAATGAGTAACCCGTACATTCGTTACTATCTTGATCACAACAAGGGCGTGGTATGTCTGTTTTCAGAGGCAGACCATGGCAAATGGGTCATGGACAAATGGGTTTTGGACTAGGTGGTCTGTTTAAAAGTGTTGCCAGGGCAGTCATGCCAATTGTAAAAAGTGGAGCAAAAGCTCTTGGTAACATTGCCCTGAATACTGGAGCTAATCTATTAGGAGACGTTGCCTCGGGAAAAAATCTGAAGACAGCGATAAAAAGTCGAGGGCGTGAAGCCGTAAACATCGCAAAGGGAAAAGCCGTTAATCGAATAAAGACGTACGCTCAAACAGGAAGTGGAAAACGGAAAACAAAGAGAAACGCATCAATTAACAGGAAAAGTCGTCCCAAGAGACGCAAAACGACTAAAAAGAGAAAAGCATCAACATCCACAGCCAGAAGCAGACAGACCAAGAAGCGGAGAACAACTCGTGCAGAAGATATATTTGGTTAAACATGAATTTTGTGCATTCAAAATCTCCTGAAGGAATGAAAAGTGAACTTGATTTATTTGGAATACCATCAACACAAGTTGGATTGGAAAAAGGACATTGGATCGATCATCAACCGGTATCCAGTGTAGAAGACGGTGGTCCAATCACATTTCTGTGTCCAGGAACTGATGATTACGTTGACTTGTCGAAAACGATTCTTGTAGTGAGAGCAAAAGTGACAAAGGCTAATGGGCAAGATCTTGACGCAGACGAAAGAGTCGGAGTTGTAAACAATTTTCTGCACAGCCTTTTCAAACAAGTTGACGTCTTTTTGAAAGAAAAGCAAGTGACACAAGCTACTGGAACGTATGCATACCGTGCGTATTTGGAGACGCTGCTTAATTTCGGGATTGGTGCTAAGCAATCCCAACTCACCGCGGCTTTGTTTTATAAAGATACAGCAGGAAAATTTGATGTGTCCAATCCTGCAATAGCGGTTGCTGCTAACACCAACTATGGTCTTAAAAAGAGATATGAATTCAGCAGCCAGAGTAAAACGATTGAAATGGCTGGACCTATATTTAGTGATGTGTTCTTTTCAGAACGTCTCCTGTTAAGCTTTGTAGACCTAAAAGTTATTCTGAATCGCAATATTAACGAGTTTTGTTTGATGGCTTCTGAAGATGATGCGGATTACAGAGTAAAATTGATGGATGTTTATCTGAAAATACGTAAGGTGAAAATTAGCCCAACCATTTCCATGGCCCATGAGATTGCATTGAAAAAAGGTCCTGCTATCTATCCTATCCGTCGTGTTGAATGTAAAAGTTTCATTATTCCAGCTGGAAATCCCTCCCTAAGAAAAGATAACATTTTCAACGGACTTGTCCCGAAATCATTTGTTTGTGGCTTGGTCGAAAGTGCGGGATTCAATGGCGCGTACAAACAAAATCCATTCAACTTTCAACATTTCAACATGTCGTTTATTGGAGCGTCTGTGAATGGCGAAGAAGTACCCTTGAAAGGTATGCAACTTTCCTTTGCCGGTGCAAATCCTAGATATATTGAAGCATTTTACACAATGTTCTCTGGTACGGGAAAGATGAACTACAACACTGGAAATGATATCTCACGCGATGAATACATAGGAGGAAACGTGCTTTTTGCATTGGATCTGACGCCAGACATGTGTGGTAGTTCAACGCACTTTAATGCTGTTCAGAAAGGAAATTTCGCAGTTGACGTCAAGTTCTCTCGTGCGCCGGCAGCAGCTGTGAGTCTTGTCTGTTATGCAGAATTCGAAAACCTGATACAGATTGAGGTGAGAGAAACGTCATATATGACTATACCGGCTAGATGAATACCGGACAGATAGCCGCGCATTGGAACAAGACTCTTTGACAAGTAAAAATTTTGCGGTGTGTTTCCAAGTGACAAATTACCTGAAAAAATTGAAAATTATCCTTGCGGTTTTGTTGCAAACACAGATCCAAGCACTGAACCTGGAACGCATTGGGTGGCCTTTTACTTTCCATCAGAACATAACGGAGAATTTTTTGACAGTTATGGGCAGCCGCCGGAATTCTACTCATTTGGGAACATTTTCAAGGGATATTCTTATGAATTTAACAATCGCAAACTGCAAAGCAATTGGTCGGATGTTTGTGGCCAATATTGCATATTTATCTAGTCATAGGGCACGTGGACATAGCATGAATAAGATTGTTCAGTTATTTAGTAAAAATACATTGTTAAATGATGAAAAAGTATCTCATTTTGTTAAAAATAATTTTAAAGTAATGTTGAAAGAATCAAATGCTGTAGAACAACAAAGTAAAAAGTTGTTTAAATAAATGTTGTCAAAAAGAAATCAACGTGTGTGTGTGTGTGAAAGGTGAGAAAACTAAAACGGGTTGGAAAATAACCATTTATTTATTCATTAGAACATGCAGTTACAAAATTCAATATTTAATCCATTGTTTTGGAGTTTTCTCCTGTGTATCATGTCTCTTCAACAGTCTTTCAAAATAAGCTGATGATGGGCTTGATCGTTTGGGTGTACTGACAACGGATTCTCCTCCTGCAGACAGAGTATCCATTTGTTTTAACCTTTCCTCATTTCTCACGATGTCTGTTGGTATGTTCATCTTGGACAAAACAGTAAAAAATTCTTTCGATCCTTTAGGATTAAAATTCTTTCTTCTTCTCATAGCGTCGCTGATCAAATCAGAAATGTTTGAACGTGGAACCTTTTTACCGTCCAAGGTAACTTCTCCAGTCTTATCCCAAGAAATAACGTCAGGTCTCGTTTTCAAACGGTTCAACAATGCTGTCGCTCTTAAACGCATTGTTTTGGGTATATTATCTACAATCACGGAATCGGGCAGGGGGTTGATTTCGTTTGCCCCGTCGTCTTTTTCTGTATTTTTCTCCGTAGCCAGCCTAACAGTTGGGATCTCCTCATCCTTTTGTTGCCTGAGATTCATAAAACGTTCCAGATTGGCAGTACAGTTTCTGTTTTTGCGCATCATCAATATCAGTACGTTGAAGAATATCAGACATTTCTCCATCTGTCTTAATCATGTTTCTTACAATTGGCGACGTTTCAATTTTTTGCTTTTGTTCGTATCTAGCAAACACGTCCTCGGGGACCAGTATCATTCGTTTTGCATGCTTCATTTTGCTAAGAAACTTCCGAGGACACTTAGGACAGGTGGCAAAAGAGCTGTAAGTAAATTCCCACCTTTTTGATTAATATATTGCTTCTTTCGTTTTCTTGACACTTTCTTATTTGCCAACGCACGGAGATGTGTCCTGTAGCGCACTAAACGTCGCTTTTGATTCGGTGTTAGTGGAATAATACCTTTAAGTAGATTCAAAGAACATTCGCAAATAGCTGTGATGACATCTGCAGGACAATGTTCGATAAGCAGTTTACGCAACTTAGGTTTAGACTTTACCATAACTTGAAGATACGGAAGACTTTCTTTCATGCGCTTCGACATGTTTATACTGATAGCCGTTGGTCAACGCGCGTAACTTAAGTACGTCTCACGTAGACGACTTGTCTTTCTCCAGGAAGAATAGATGTTCTGAGACGCATATTTTCCGGTGTCAACTGATGACAATCAACCATTAGATAACCGTAAGGTTTACTTGTAGCATCATGGAATGCCTCCAAAAGATAATTCACGTTATTGGGAAACATCTGTTTTGCTAATGTCGCAATACCGAGCGAGTCACGTGGGTTTCGGAATATTAGCATGTAGTGGGAATTCAAACTTATCGTTCGTGATAACTTTCCTGGTGGGAACAAGTTCTGCGTAAGGTAGAGAACGGATATACCCCGATGATGAGAGCCACGCGTAAATAAGTCTGCTACCCGTTGATCGTTGGAACATTGAGACATCAGATCATCTAGTACGACAAGAGAATTATCGTGTCCTTTCACCAACTCGTATAAATCATCCGGAAACCCCTCTACTAGTGTAAGATTAGGAAACTTTTGCAACAGCTGTTCAAATTCTTGCTGATATATACCGTAACAATATATTATATTGGTTGGAACTGGATTGAAAAGTTCTTTTAAGTTATGCAACATGGTTCGAACCAAATAAGATTTCCCACTTTGGCTTTGTCCACAAACATAAAAGTTTGCAGGCGTTTTGAATCGCACATCCATCGCAGATACAAACACAATGAATTTCGTGATACATGTCCATGTGTTTTATAGAGAGAAAATGTGTTTGATAAAAGAAATCATTCGGTCGAAAAGGCTCTGTTTGACCTTAAACTCCTCAAAATCGAGGCTCTGAAGTCGTGTAGCAACGAGTCTTACGGCTCCACGCGTGACCTCCTCGGAGTTTTTCATCAAGGAAACCAATGCTAAGTAGGCCATTGCGCGACCAAAGTTGCTCACATTGATTTCATAAAAAATAACTACCAAATCAGAAGAATTTAAAACCGCCGATTGGTATGTAGACTTGTGTTGCACAAGTAAATAATTGATATGATGAGTTAACGTTTTCATATTAATATCGACGTTATTCTTTTGGAGCTCGTCTAAGATGACCTCCATTATTAGCAGCGCGAAATCACAAATGATACAGTAGTGTGTAAAACATTTTATTTATGTCAACAAAAATAAAGTCTCTATAAAGTTCTTACATAAACGTTTCAGTTCTACTGAGAATAAAGATCTCGGTAATATGATGGTATGAACGGTTCTTCAACACTGATTTGTTCTTCGGGTACCCATTCAAAAAATCGACACGAGTCCTTCTTCCCATTGGGGCAACAAAAGAACATACGATCTTTATTGATGCCTTCTTTCTTCACCTTTCGCAATGTACACGATAGCCCATGATGACAGGACGGTCTCGTTGTTGGCTTCACATCACCCCACGTCCAAAAGGAACATGGATCCTTCTTGTCAGAGCATACAAAAAACGGTCTTCCAAAACTTCCTTTCATTAAATCTTTAACCACACGCATTTTTGTTGGGTTTATGTGTGCATTGCGGCTGTGATTGATTCGTAACTCTCCAAGCAGCAATGGCTTTCTCAAATAGATATCCATCGTCTTCCGTGCAAAAGAAATTACAACCAGGATTTTGACCACAGAACCAAAACGAACCGTTCTTCGTTGTCGCAGTAGAAGCAGGCTCCCCGTGTAAACATTTCATCGCTTAATCTTGACTTAAAATATATCACACAAGCTCTTCCAAGTGAAACTCGTAAACATGCGATCCAGCGTTTATGCCCCAAATTTATACTCTAAGAAAACTGAAAACCAAAAGATCATCGGATGACAATCTTAGATGTCTCCTCAGACGTCTGACCTTGCATATCTTAGTCAGATTGTGTTGTGAGAAACTTTGAATTCAGTTGAACACAAACTTTGACGATGGAAAGTTCGAACAAGGTATTCCATTTGCTAGAAGTAATGTATGCCAATGCTGTAGAACGCGAGGTTCAAAGAATGCGCAGTAAACTTTGCTGTGGTTGTAAAGTAAGAGATCAAGACTGTTTAATTGAGTACGAGACATGGCAGTTGTATGGTTTCGAAGCCATAGAGCAAGTTAACAATACATGCATGATATGGAGTGAGTTTGTTGAAGTAACAAGAGTCTTAGACCTTAAGTGGTATGATGATGTATCTCAGCACTGGAAACAACTTACGAAAGATCCAGATTTTATACTGATCGAGTCCTTAATGAACGTAAAAGATCCTAAAGTTCAAAGTGCATTGAACCAGCTGTCTCATTGGAAAGGAGATTCATACCAAACTGATCCACTAGAGTCAGGTGTCGTTGCCTTTTTTTGTAACCCGCCTATCTTTAAGTACACGGTTAAAACAACAGGAGAACAGTTTACAAGTGATGAGAACAATCATCACAAAGCATACACAGAATATTTAAGAAATGAACTCTTAAAATGAACATACAAATGTGTAATTCTCATTGTAAAATAAAATATACTCCTCGCAAATTCTTACTGTGTAATAAATAAACCGGCATTTGTGTAATTTGAGTAAGATGCTGTCAAACAAACATATCCTGCGTATTTACGCTATTATGCGTATTTACGCTATTATGCGTATTTACGCTATTATGCGTATTTACGCTTTATTGTTTACCCCGCCCCTCGCTCACTATTCTACTCGCGCGTGGAGAACACGCATATCTTCGGAAAATCCGACAGTTTCCGACGTCCCGCGTGGGGTCCACGCGTTGCGTGTTTTTGCCGCTGGATGGGGGGGGGTAACCTACTCACGTGCTCGGAAGCTTTCAGGCAATTGGATAATGCTTTTTATGCTTTCTAAAGAAAGAATTATGCTATTGGTTGAAATAGAAATGTATTGTAAAGTTCAGCCAGTGAAATGAATTCTTGCGAGGAGCTGCTGCACAACCCGCAGCTCGAGGATAAAGAGAATAAAGATACGTTTCTATCACCTGAAAATATGCTTCTTTTTTAGGAGTGTCTCAATTGAAAACAAATATCATCGGTCAGTTCATTGAAGAAATGGACATATTTTGTGAACTTCAGTGCGCTGTAAACCGTTTTTGTGTGGCGTATAATTACAAGAAAAAGAAAACTGACAAAGAGTTCAACTGTCAGCTAACCAACACAACTGAGCATAAATTTGACGAGCATGAAGTTACCAAGGAAGAGCAAGCGTGGACGTTGTACAAGATTAACGTGGACAGAAGTCAATTTGTAAGAATGTATTCTTTGTTTTCACTATACTTTGATTTTATACCATCTTCGTTATATTCGAGCTTAATCAATACCAATCAGCCTGTTAATTAACGGTTGAAAGTTCTCATAACACAAAAAGTTATTGCTAGGGGTAATTATCATATCATATTTTGAAGGCTACCTGCAGAGGAGAAATGAATGAATGTCATAACGGAGGGACCATGATTTGGCATCCAGAAAAACAGTATTTGTGTCAGTGTGTGGAATGTTACGAAGGAAGTCGTTGCGAAAACGGTAATTACAGTATTGTCACGAAATATAACGTAACACTGCGGTTGCGGTTAGGTTGCGGGCGAGCGATAGAAACCACAGACGACCGCAAGGGAAAAAATACGATGGCGGTTTTTGTTCGCTTCCGAACGGAGTGTTATGAGCCGCTTAGAACGACGACACAATCATCAAATAAAAAACATCTTAAGAAATGTTTTTCAGAGTCAGTGCATGAGACCGAGTTTCGATACATAGGGGTAAGAGGTTCAAACTCGCTCTCACCGCGGATCGACCTCCGTCTGACCTTGGCTCAAGCGAGGTTTGAACTATGTCGACAGCGGTTTTTGTTAGGTTATTTCTCGACAGTACTGTACATGTAGAACTAAAGTAAACAAGGGAGAAGTTTCAGAGAAAAGAAAGGTGGTCAAAGAAATTTTTCCTAAATTAACTCCTATTAACAATACACGTTTGCAATTATCGTTACACTGGTAGAAATATTTGAAGTAATCACCACACAAATATTAGCTACATTCACAACCCATATAATTTCATTGCTCCATCAAGCTTCTTTATTACTAGTTAAATCTTTTAGTGTTCATTGACTGTGACTTGATTAAAATTAGCACAAGCGGGGCTAAATCATATTTCAACTTACCCCGCGTAAAATTTTTTCATGACATTTTCACCTCATTCTAGCGTCGTTTTACATACAGCTTATGGAAAGGAAAACGTCGATTTTTCAAGCGAATTATTTCATTTGAAAGACTATAAGGCAGACGGATTAAAATAAATGTGATTTGAGAAGTTTTTGTGGATTGAATAAACTATTCTTTATAGTTGTTAATTGCTTTTGATTTACACCATATTAAGGTTATAGATGGGTGTAGACCATTGAGATATTCCAGAAGATGGTTTAGTTCTTCAATCTCGTCAGACCAAAATAATGGGGAAAACGTCATCCACATAACGTTTCCATGATAGGGGTTTAAAATGAGAGTTGGCTAGTGATCTTTCTTTGAAGTCTTCCATGAATATATTTGCTAGGATTGGAGAGAGAGGTAAACCCATAGGTCCGGCACTTGTTTGTTCATAGAATTGATCTCTCCACTGGAAGCAAGTTGAGGAGAGGCAAAGTTTAAGTAGATCAATCATTTCGTCTGCTGAAAAGGTAGTACGTGAAGATAAGTTTGTGATCATAAGTTAGTGCGTTCTCGTCTACTGATAAGTCAGTGCGTTATGTACTTGCGCACATAGTTTGTTTGTATCTAAACTTTTCTCTGATGATGGCCTGAGCTCACAGGCCGAAAGCTTAGAGACTTAATAAATTACATGGTGAAAATCACAAGCAATTAACACCCATATTTAACAGCACCATGCAAAACTTCAAAGAACAAACTATTCTTTATTGCGTTAATAAGTCTACCCTGTAAGATAACTAAGTTTCACTCTTAAATAAACATCTTAATTACAGTCCTTGCGAAACCTCTCGGAATGGCAAATGGTACTATTAGTAATAACCAAATCAATGTATCAAGCGAATGGAAAGGTCAAGTTCATCCGAACAGAGGGAGATTAAACATGACAGGGGCATGGGCATCAGGGAAAAACGATCTTAATCAGTGGTTTCAGGTTGATTTCCAAAGATCTACTCTGGTCACAGGAATCAGTACCCAAGGACGCAGCAATCTCAATCAGTTTGTTAAGAGATACACCGTTTCATTTAGCCAAGCTGGAGATAGTTTTCAGTTTTATACACAAGAAGGAACAGTCAAGGTATTTGATCATTATCAAAATTACAGAAAAACTTCTTGTTCTTGACAGAAGGGTCAACTTCCTGCACGACGAAGGTTCATAATTATGCATATCGATATGTCGAGAATTTTTTTACACGAGATTTAGCTAATTACTACTAACCTGCTTTCCTCTACGACTTGTCTATATTATTAGACAAAAACGAATTTCAATGAAATCATGATTTTAAAGAAACCTGATTTTTGTTCTTTTCATAAATATAGGAATTCAAAGGTAACAACGACCGCTTTTCTGTTGTCCATAACACGGTGATTCCTCATTTTTCTGCTCGGTTCATTCGGGTTCATCCAACGGCCTGGTATGGACATATCTCGATGAGAGTCGAATTTTATGGTTGTTCATAAGAGATATTGATATTGTAATATAAGGGAAATTGTTTGTCATATGCACACAAGGGTTTTGCTCGTGATGGACACACGGAAATGAAAACACTGCACTATATGCACAATGAACAATGCACAATGCACAATAACGCACTATAGTTTTAGAGTATAAAATATCACGGGCTGCACTATTTTAGAAGAAGTTTGATAACTTGGTCTGGGGCACGACAATAAACATACTGAAAAGGAAGTTGTATTGGTGATATCTTCAGCTGTCCTTCATACGGCCCGGACGATCCCGCGGATAAAATAACATAGAAAAAGGGGTTGTTTAATATAATCCCAAGTGCATGTTTAGGCGTCATCTATCTGCATGTTTAAAGTTATATTCATTAAAGCTTCTATTTAGTCGTTACCTGTGACTACAGTGATGAGAATCGAATTTTATGAGTGTTTATAACTGATAATGTTATATCATTATGATTATTATAATGTTATGTAAAATTTAAAATCGCAAACAGGATAATTGCGCATATGACCAATGGCTTCTGTTGCCAAAGTGACACCTATTCGTTTTCCAAATGATAGTAGTTTTATGAAGCTTGCTAAAAGTTATGCCGGTCTCATACAGTCATACGGTGTGATAAAACATACGGTGTGATAAAAGTAATCCATATTAACTGATTCTTGACCTCGCTTGTTCACAGTACAGACCAAACTTGCGTTGTGGATGGTTTTCAACAGTGATACACACAGTGGCGTGGCCAGCCTGACGATTTCGTCCCGCTATGCAAATTTCGAGCTATAATAATCATTCATGTATTTTGAAATTTATTGTTTTCTCAGTCAATGAACACTATAATAATATTAGAATAGCGGGACATATCGTCAGGTTGCATGGCTACGCTAAGCTACTGGATACATAGAAAACATGCTTTCTTTTTATTTGTTATGTAGCTCTATTGACCACACAGTATTTCAGATACAGATTCCCATGGATGACTTATAAGACAGCTGTCCCAGCTAATATTTTTGGGATAATGCATTTCATTATATGGGTTTTCAAAATCCTCTATTCTGATTGGTTGATGAACTGTTCGTATAACCCATATCCGCGCCGTGGTCCGTATATTCCGTGTCCAGATACGATCACTAGTGAAAACCATCGAGATGCATAACACAAATTCACATTGAAAAATCATGAAGATGGTTTGTGGGCTCTCATTTTTATTCCAATGTTTAATATTAATGAAATAGGGTAGCCTTATTTAACCACAACAGCTACAACAGAATCACGTTTTGCGGCAGAGTAAGTCACTTAATTAGTAGCAAATCAAAAGCGAAAATATGTAATGTTATTTCACATAATACACACGAAAATTCTGATGCGTAAACTGCAGTCATGTTAACTTTTGCATTCTCGTACAGACTAACGCGCATGTTAGCCTTTGCATTCTCGTACAGACAACGGTAAAGCAGAATTTAACAATTATTGATGATCGAAATACTTGGAAGTACGTTGCCAACTTCTGTATCTACTTCCAATCGTAAATTTGAGTTTATATCCCAACGAAATACGTTGCTCTTAGCAATCAGGCAAAGACTAAAGACCGTGAAGTATTACGGATTTGAGTCAATTTTAATTAAAAATATGGAACGTAACCACTTCGTAACGCAAGAAAAAGCCGCAAGTAACAAGAAATTGTTAAGAACGTAGTTGGTTGCATAAGGAAGTTGGCAACGTAATTCCGTAATTCGAAACGTAGTTCCCAATTTCCAAACGTACTTCGCAATTCGACGCGGAAACGTAATCTGAAATTTGCAATAAGTATTCCATATTTCCATTCATTCTTTATTTTACTCCAACAGTAAGTCAACAGCGAGAATCTCGTGTACCTGACTGCCTATTCAATTAGAGTTCAAAAACAGCAGTGACAAATATCAGTTAATTCCTGATAACGTGTTTCTTACGATACCTATCACACGTTCGCGAAAGTTAAGGCTATCGTGCCTTGCTGAGAATAATATCCATAACACGGACATGCAGCTGTCGTACCCTTTGGGTCTTGACTCCCGAGCATGCAGGTCTGGCTCTGTGTAGTTTAAAATCTAAGTATAGCAACATTCTTATTGTAAATCCCACATTTAAAATATTCTGTTAACTTTATACCCTGAATTAAAGCCTATATAATGATTGAAAATATATTAGGGTGCATGGCTTGACGTTCCATAATGATGGTCGCTTAATTGGAAAAGTATACACATATTCGCTAAATGATATAAAACTAAATTCCTGCTCGATATTTACTTCATTTAAGAATTTTTCCAAGTAAAAAATTACACATAAACTATCAAACAGCTATCACGTTGCAGCTACTTTCGTGTCGTCGAGAAGTTGTCGTTAAAAAATGCTTCACTTGAAGGCGTCGTAAGAAAGATAACATGTCATGGGACCACGAGTTATACATATACTTATTGTCTCGCGTAATACTAGGGAGTAATAAGTTAAATTTAGGGAGCAAGTAAAAAATAATAGAGAGTTTACGAATTACGACGCGGTTAGCTCGTCGACCCTAGTCAATTATTTTACTAGAAATAAGCTGCTGGAGATTATTTATGCTTCCAGGAATTGTGCCATGAACCTCCGACATTTAGCTGATATTGCATTTTCATATAAGCTGTACGCGCGTAAAACAGCAATCACGTTTTCCCTGCTTTCATGTCATCGAGAGGCCGTGAAAATTACTCACTTAAAGGTGTCGTAAAAATTACAACGCGCGCATGGGACCACAAATTATGCGTGCCTATTGTATCGCGTGTGGAGTTTGTTTGTTTTGCAAGCGCGTCGTCAAACTACCGCGTCTTTAGCTTATAATTGAAAAATGCCAATAAAGCTTTAACACGATAGACTGAGTAGCTATAGCAGCGGTAATTTGAAAATATTCATCATAACCTCAACATTTGTGTATATATATATCAAAGTAACATCAACATTTGTCTATATTTATTCTGTAAACACAGAAGGAATTCAACCGCAGTTGAGAAATGAAGAAACTTTATATAATGCTGATGTTTCTACAATCTTCCATGTTTTTGCAGCTGCAATTCATGTTTCTCACTGCTTCACAATATCTGGCAATTCGTCATGGTGAGTCAAAATATAACTTAAATGTCATTCTTTGTTATTATAGATATATTTTTAAACTAAATTGAGTAACTGGAAGTCGATTATATATTATGACAATTGCAATTTTGTCGAAATGTTGAATGATAATATTAATACAGAATGTTTTGAGAGTTTAAAGTAAATTCTAAGGGCGCAATTTGACTCATGAGATCACGCATTACCGCTCGTATATAGCTTTGCGACAAAAAGCGTAGTATATTGCAAGGCATAAGTCCGGCAAGTTAAATTGTTAAATTGGGCTGGGAAGGGTCAAGGGTTGCTTTCGAAAATTTCGAGAAAAGCTTTATTTGTACAATGTTGAAAGACCGGTTTTAATTTATCTCAGAAAGTAAAATAACTTAAGAGTTACGGTTTATTTTTTCAATTTCAAAATTGCTGGGGGTAAATTACAAAAACGTTTTCTTAGGATTTCAAACACTCTTTAGAAATTAACATCCCTCAAATATAACTGCATTGCATATTGCAAAAAAAATAATTGCACAGTGTTCAGAATTCGTGTTTCTCACTGCTTCACAATATCTGGCAATTAGTCACGGTGAGCCAAAATAGGACTAAAATTTCATTCAGTCTTTATTATTATAGCTATATTAGATTATCTGATGGTAAGGTACTTTAAACTAAATTGAGTTACATGCAAGTCGATTATGTATCACAATTGCAATTTTGTCGAAATGTTGAATGATAATATTAATAAAGAATGTTTTGAAAGTTTAAAGTAAATTCTAAAGGCCGACACAGACCGGCCGCGAAGCGGCAACGCGGCGTGAATTTTAAATTTTCAGAAGTATATAAATTAAATTCTGGAAGTAAAATTTGGAAACAATGGATGCTAGAGCAGTCAAAATGTTTTATTGTTATGTAATCTACAAGAATATTATGATGGTTTAAAATTTATTTGATTTTAAAAAACTAAAAACGTTGAAAATTCGCGCCGCGTTGCCAATTCGCGTCCGGTCTGTGTGGGCCTTAAGGGCGCAATTTGACTCATGAGATCAAGCATTACAGCTCGTATTGAGCTTTGCGACAAAAAGCGTAATATTGCAAGGCATAAGTCCTGCAAGTTAAGTTGTTAAATTGGGCTGGGAAGGGTCAAGGGTTGCTTTCGAAAATTACGAGAAAAGCTTTATTTGTACAATGTTGAAAGACCAGTTTTAACTTATTTCAGAAGCTAAAATAACTAACGAAATACGACTCATTTTGTCAATTTTAAATATATTTTAGGTAAACTACAAAAACGTTTTCTTAGGATTTCAAACACTCTTTAGAAATTAACATCCCTCAAATATAACTGCATTGCAAGTTGTAAAGAAAATAATTGCACAGTGTTCAGAATTCGTGTTTCTCACTGCTTCACAATATTTGGCAATTATAGTCACGGCGAGCCGAAATAGGACTAAAATGTCATTCTTTATTATTATAACTATATTAGATTATCTTATGGTAAAGTTTTTTAAACTAAATTGAGTTACATGCAAGTCGATTATGTATCACAATTGCAATTTTGTCGAAATGTTGAATGATAACACCAACACAGAATGTTTTAAAAGTTTAAAGTAAATTCTAAGGGCGCAATTTGACTCATGAGATCACGCATTATCGCTCGTATTGAGCTTTGCATGCGACAAAAAGCGTAATATATTGCGAGGCATAAGTCCGGCAAGTTAAATTGTTAATTTGGGCTGGGAAGGGTCAAGGGTTGCTTTCGAAAATTACGAGAAAAGCTTTATTTGTACAATGTTGAATGACCGGTTTTAATTTATCTCAGAAAGTAAAATAACTTAAGAGTTGCGGCTCATTTTTTCAATTTCAAAATTGCTGGGGGTAAATTACAAAA